GAAGGTTTACAGTGTTTGAGGAGGAGCCTTATTTGTTATGAACATTTTGAACAAATTCTTGGAATTGGTTCTTTAAAAGAAGTAGTAGCCATGTAAAGTGATTGCCTGGGTCTTCAGTAAGAAAATGAGTGGGTGGGCACCTCAGATATTGGAGTTGAAAAGTGAGGGAAGAATTGCACTTCCAATATGTAGGGCTTTGAAATGTGACCCTGTCCTCTAAAACACTTTCTCCTTTGATAACAAAGTTCCTGACATTTCTAGGGATTTTCTTAAAATTCTTTACATTACCTCACCCTGTTTCTAGATATTGCAGTAAGATAGCAATATTTAGTTGTGATTTTCTTTTCTTAAATATAAAAATAACTTTTATTGTAGAAAAATTAGAAAATACAGGTGAAGGGTTGCTTGGTGATAATTTCTGTAAGTCTTTTGATGGGTAGTCTTACAAATATTTATGTATTCCTACATACACTTATGTGCATATACTTTTATCAGAATGGCTCAATCATATAGGTAATCTTAGGGAATTTGCTCTCTTTTATGTCTTAAGTAATACATTTGAAATGTGTGTAATGGCTCCATTTACATTATCATTTGTAATGGCTGAATAATATTTTATGTGATACGCGTACTGTTCTGTATTCATTATGGTTGAATTTACTTTTTAATTTTTTAGCTACTGTTTAACTGCTTTTCAATAAACGTTCTTGTGAAATTTTAAATCATTTTGATTACTTGAGACTATAGAGTAATGGTGGGGCTGGTATATAAACCAAGGATTGAACCCACCTTGAGGTGCTGGTAGTTCTCACAGTGTAGTTAATGGATTATTACTAGTTTGAGGACCTCCTGGTGGTGGATGGAGATCTCCTGTTATTGACATGCTTTAAATGCTTATGTTGGAGTTTTGGCATGAATTATACTTTTATTGTAGAACTTGTAAAAAGCAAACATCCTTTGGTTGGTAGATAATCAAAAGTTTAACCAATCTTTAACTCCGAGTTACTGTTTTAGAGATTGAAGGGCTATTGGAAGTAGATATGACCTTATACTGTTCGTATAGTTTGTGACAAAAGTGTTAGTCACTTATTTTTTTCTTCCTTTTTCTTGGTGAGTCTTTTTCAGGTTTGGCATACTTGCACAATTTTTAGTTTGGTCTTAGTTAATTTGGTGGGGATGACAGACACATAAGCCTATGGCTAAACACATACCCAGCTCTAGACAGGAGGGAGAATCAGTAGCGTGGTGGCTCCTGTATAAATGAGTTGTCTCTGGTATTAGTAGGAAATCCATTTAGTAGATGTATCATGGGCAGGAATATGCTATAGAGCAACTGTTGAGATTCTCTCCATGTTAGAATTCTAGTGAAACAAAATATAGATATAACCATATCCTCTGCTTGATCCTGAACTTTTCTTGACTCAGTTTTAACCTGAAGCATGTGCTTATTCATGCTTTGGCAGCTCAACAATTATAAATCTTTTTTTTTTTTCTTTGATTGGTATCAGCCTTGGGTCTGACTGAATAAAGAACAGTTTAACACACCCTGTTAGCTAAGCCCGCCTTTCTCAGTATGTGTATTTAGCTGCACTAGTTGAACGTGGGAGAGGGACCTCTGAAACTTCCTCTCAACTATTCATTGCAAATGATTTTTTGTTTTGTGCACTGTTCACAGTAGCTAAGTTGTGGAAACAACCTCTATATATCCATGGATAGATGAATGGGTAAATAAAATGTGGCATAAATGTATAATGGAATACTAGGCTGAAACTCCAGTACTTTGGCCACCTCATGAGAGGAGTTGACTCGTTGGAAAAGACCCTGATGCTGGGAACGATTGGGGCAGGAGGAGAAGGGGATGACAGAGGATGAGATGGCTGGATGGCATCACCGACTCAATGGACATGGGTTTGGGTAAACTCTGGGAGTTGGTGATGGACAGGGAGGCCTGGCGTGCTACGACTCGTGGGGTCTCGAAGAGTTGGACACGACTGAGCGACTGGACTGAACTGAGGCAGTTTTAACAAAAAAGGGAATTTGGCAGTGTGTCACAGCATGAATGAGAGAAATCAGCCAATCATTGAAAGTGATTCCACTTAACTTGAGGCACCTGAAATTGTTAAATTCCTAGGCTCAAAGAGTGGAATGGGTGAAGGAGGAAATGGGAAGTTAGTAATCAACAGGCATTTAAGTTCAGTCCTGCAGATGGATTAGCTCTAGAGATCTGTTCTTTACCATTGTACCTACAACAGTGTGAATTATATTGACGCTGAAAATTATTAAGAGGATAGGTCTCACGTTAAGGTGTCCTATTTTAAAAAAAAGTTCTGTTTTTTTTTTTTTTCCCCAGTAACCTGTCTGTTTTATAGCCAGGTTCAGTGGGGACTTCTTTGTGATACACCAGAGCTCTGTGGTGTCTGTTGGAAGGCAGTCCTAAAATAACTGTCATGGGGTCTGCTGCTGTGGCCTTTGTCTAGGTCATAGGCTCAGGCCTCTAAAAAGTGGGTAGGGTATAAGTGAGATTTTATGACTTTAGCAATTTTCTTATCATAAAGTGGCAGGCAACAGAGATGTCTTCATCACTGTTGAGAACTTGTATTAATTGATCCTGCCTTGATAAAAGGTGCAAAAGGGCAGCCCTTTGCATCAGATTCTGAAGGTTGCCCTGCCTTATCAATCAAGCCACAAGCTCAAATCATTCAGTAAAATAGGTAAATTGTAAGTGCCATTAGGTTTTAGATGTGACATGACCCCCCCCNCCCCCCCGCCCCGACTGGGCATTTATTTTCTTACTGATTATTTAATTAACTGGTACTAGTGACGGGCTTAACTATTTGAATACTGACAACCTTGCATAGTTCACTACTAAAATGTAGAGGAAAATATAAATGGAGGTATTACATGATTTAGTATTGCTTTTGAATTGAGGTTTTTAAGTACCTTAAAGTCAGGATCTGTACTTTTTTAAAAAACTCACTTGTTTTTATTAAATGTTGAATAGAATAAAAAACTAACAGTAAGTCAACCATAGTATCTAAAGAAACATGGTACAGTAAATGCCTCTGTACTTAACCACCTGAATTATTAAAAAGAATATATTAATGAAGCAAGTAAAACCAGAAAGCACCTATGTGTCTCTCACCCTAGAGGTACTCCCTGTTCTGAGTTGCCTTTATCATTCATTTGCTTTTCCATGTATTTGATTCCTTAGATAATGCATTGTTTAGTTTTTTTTTTTCCATTTATTTTTATTAGTTGGAGGCTAATTACTTTACAACATTGCAGTGGTTTTTGTCATACATTGACATGAATCAGCCATGGATTTACATGTATTCCCCATCCTGGTCCCCCCTCCCACCTCCCTCTCCGCCTGATCCCTCTGGGTCTTCTCAGTGCACCAGGCCCGAGCACTTGTCTCATGCATCCAACCTGGGCTGGTGATCTGTTTCACCCTAGATAATATACATGTTTCGATGCTGTTCTCTTGAAACATCCCACCCTCGCCTTCTCCCAGAGTCCACAAGTCTGTTCTATACATTTGAGTCTCTTTTTCTGTTTTGCATATAGGGTTATCGTTACCATCTTTCTAAATTCCATATATATGTGTTAGTATACTGTAATGGTCTTTATCTTTCTGGCTTACTTCCCTCTGTATAATGGGCTCCAGTTTCATCCATCTCATTAGAACTGATTCAAATGAATTCTTTTTAATGGCTGAGTAATATTCCATGGTGTATATGTACCACAGCTTCCTTATCCATTCGTCTGCTGATGGGCATCTAGGTTGCTTCTATGTCCTGGCTATTATAAACAGTGCTGCGATGAACATTGGCATGCACGTGTCTCTTTCAGATCTGGTTTCCTGCATTGTTCAGTTTTGATGTTTTTGAAGGTTTTATGAATCACTACACATATTCTTCTGCAACTTGCTTTCTTTATATTCTGTTCTTGAGATTCACTCTTGTTGCGTGTCGCTCTAGTTCTTTCATTTTCATTGCTGTATAGTATTTGTGAATTAATGTATCAGTTTATTCATTCCTTCGTTGATGTAAATTTGGGTTGTTCTAGGTTTTTACTATTATAAACAGTACTACTCTAAACATTCTTGTACCTAGCTCCTGATGCCTATGTGCCTTGAGTATACAACCAGGAGAAAAGTTCTTGGGTCATGGGATATGTATGCATTCAGCTCTGTTTTGACTGAGCCAGATTTTTTTCCAGTGTGATTGTGCTTATTCTCCCATCAGGAGAAACTTTATATTGTTCCATGTCCTAGCTAGGACTTGACATTAATAGACGTTTTGGTTTTTGCCTGTTGTGTTACTTATGAATAACAATGTTTGTTGGGTTATTTTTGCATTTGCAAACCTGCTAAAATTTACTGTCCTCAAGAGGCTTATGGTTACTTGTATGGACAGGAAGTACTTTAAAAAATAAAAATTAAATGACCTGGAGGTGCTAAGTGAAAGTTACAGACAAGGAATTTAAAAAAAAAATTATTTTATAATATTATTGAGTCTCCCTAGCTTTTTATTGTGATGATTTTCAAACATAGAAAAGTTGAAAGAAGAGTCTTGTAACTAATTGCAGTGTACTGTCACCTACATATTTTGCTCTAATTGCTTTATTTATGAGTTCTTATGTGTATTACATTTGTATATGTATTGGTTGAAAAATTTTAAGTCACAGACAACATGACACCATACCCATTACATGGTTACATGTAAAATCTTCAGCATGTATCTTCTAATGACCGGGATATTCTTTCTTACTTATTAGTACAGTACCATGATTACATGTAAGAATATTGCCAAGAATTCCCTAATACCTTCTAATAGTCAATCCTATTTGAAATTATCAATTATCTCCTAAACATCTTCAGTAGTTGTGTTTTTGGTTAATTTTTGGAATCAAGATCCTTTCAAAGCTCATAAGTAGCATGTGATTTTTACATTTCTTAGTCTTAGTATAGAACAGTCCTTTCATCTTTATTTTCATGATGCTGGCTTTTTGAAGAGACTAGTCAGTTGTCTTGCAGAGTGCACGTGTTCTTGGTTATCTGATTATTTCTTCATAGTGTCTTTAAGTTGTTCTTTTATCCCCTGTCTGTTCTGTCAGGATTCACTTGACAGGACTTCTGAGTGATTCTGTGTACTTCATATTCTATCACATCAGGAGGCGCTCCTAAATGTAATCTCTTGGTTAGGAAGTGCTGCCAGCTCACTGTACATTTTTCACTTTGTAATTAACTACCTACCATAGCACCTTTGAAGGATAGTGGATTCTATATCCATTTGACCTTCCTCCAGTAGTCTCTGATTGTTCCCTAGCTTTCTGACCCAAGACAAATAAGGTTTACTTTGTAGTTTCCCTGTCCCAGATCTGGAATCCAGCCTGTCTCCAAGGAACCCTTGTTTCTGGTAGGAATGTCTTTAGAAATCTAGTTCTGCCTGTTCAGTATGCTCTGTACTGAGCCACTGGCTGGAGTCCCTGCCTCGAGAAGAAAGGTACTGACATCTTCAAGGAAGTTTGCTGATGGCTCTGGAGGACACAAATAAAACTGCTAATGGGCAGTTTTTCAAAGCAGCATGGTAAAAAGTGAAAAATGGTATAGGGAAGGTCCTAGAAGGCCTCCTGAAGGAGGGGTTAAGAAATGGATTTGGGCACACTGAAAAAAATAAATAAAAAGGTAAGTAGGAAGGTGTCTGTTAGCGAGGAGGAGAGGACATTCTCTCCAGGGGAAGGGTGTTTATGGAAGTAGGAGCAAGCTGAGGCGTTTGTGATACAGCAAGTAACCACAGCCTTGCAGTGGTGAGGAGTCTGAGTGCAGAAATATAAGGAAATAAAATGATTGTTAGCAGGGCCAGAGACTTTGTGTTCCACTGAGTATATTTTTTTAAAATGTAAATACCCCCATTTGTTTTTTTGTTATAAAAAGCAGTGCATGGTCTTTGCGTAAATTTAAAACAGAAGTGTTTAAAGTGAAAGCTGTGTCATGATCGTATCCTAAGAGTATATTACAGTTTGGTTTATTATCTTATCAGACTTTTATATATTTATTACATAGAGGTTAAGAGCATGGAAACTGTCTCAAGAGAGCCTGCATTTAAAACCTGGCTTTGCCATTTAATTATCTGTGTGGGTTTTTTTTTTTTAACGTGTTAATTTTTCTGTACTTCAGTTTTATCATTTATTAAATGGGAAATAATAGAATCTACCCTGTAGAGTTGTGAGGATTAATGCTTGGTGCATATAGTACTGCCTAAATCAGTGCTTGGCATATGGTCAGCGTTGATGTGTTACCTGTTGTTTTTATGTTTTTGAAACAAAACCAGAATCATTGTTCTGTATTACATACAGCTTTGTAACTTAACTTTTTAAAAAATGAATTTCTTTTTTCTACAGGTAAAGAACACATAGAGACATTACCATCCTAACTATTTTTATGAGTACTTTTCAGTGGTGTTTATTATATATTTTTTTTTTAATTTTTATTAGTTGGAGGCTAATTACTTTACATCATTACAGTAGTTTTTGTTATACATTGATATGAATTAGCCATGGATTTACATGTACTCCCCATCCCAGTCCCCCCTCCCACCTCCCTCTGGTGTTTATTATATTTGCATTGTTGTAGAACATATCTCAAGAACTTCTTTAATCTTGCAGAACTGAAACAGCTCATTAAACAGCTCTCTTTTGCTTGCTCCACCCAGTCCTGATAACCACTGTTCTGCTTAACTTATGGGGAACAGCGTGAGTATTTTAGAAGAAACATTTTCCAGGTGATTCGAGGACCTATTCAGGACTGAGAACCATACTACCCCATATCAGCTCCTAAGACTTGGTAGACATCTCTTGGTGTTAGTGGGGTAAAAACTTAACCATTCTAGTTTCAGTAGGTAGTCTGTAGCCAGTGCTTTGGTGCAGTGAAATAGGTGGAAAGCAGGGTAGTGAGACAAAGCGCTGTCAGAGGAGTGCTGAATAAATACATGTGCCCTGTTGTTAGGCATGGGCTGGGATGGGTGTGGTGTGGACACTTTATGAAGGTAGCATTTGTAACAGACTGAAGGGACAGGTTAAAACTTGTGGGGACAAGCTGTAAATGTGAGTGTCAGGAACAGATAGATGAGGTCGTGCAAGGGAAAGGAAAGTGCTGTCTTCTCTGGGGGAACTCTCACCCTGGTTTAGTTAGGTTGTTGGTATATTTTTCAGAGATAAGGAAGGAAAGGTTGCTCAGGTAAGAGTCAGAGGTTGATTCTTCATGGTGTGGAGAATAAGTCCCTCAAGGGTTTTGAGTGGTCCTAGTCGGGTAAAGAAATGGGAGAAGAATGAGATTGTGGTCTAAGGAAGGAATACTGTTCAGTCTTCAAGAGTTACTAGGAGGTACACAATGTACCTGATGCTGTCGGGTTTTGAAGACTGCGCCCTTGTTACTTCATGGCGTCAGCAAATAAGAGGATGGCGGGTGTCTTGAGGGGTATTTATTATGAACACTTTGGTTCCTTCATTTCCTCAAATATTCATATATTTTGAAATACAAGTCTTTAGCTAGGTAAGCTGTTTTGTGAGAGAGTTCCTCAGTTTATTTACTGAGAATAATCCTATTAGTCCTCGTATTAAAAAGGTGAGATTTGATGTAGGTCTCACAAACCAAGTACAAAACAGTCTGAAATCCTCTGAGGAAAATACAGGGCTATTTCTTTGAATAGCTGCTTTTCTGTGAATGTGATGAATTTCAGCATGTTTATTAATAGTTGATGATAGCTACATTGAAATTTTAATTGGGAAAGAGATGGACATGGTATGGCATTGATCCAATGCACTGTAAGGTTCTTTAGAACACCAGGTAGTCTGAAAAATGTAAAACATGTTCTGCTTTTTTAGGAATAAAAAGTTGATAATCTTGTTGAAAGTTTTTTTTTTTTTCCCCCTGAAATAAAATCAAGGGGGGTTATTTCTAAATCTTGGCAGTTTTTCCATAGCTATGACTTTTCAGAGTAGATATGAAAAGAAAATAGTTTACCATGAATACTTAAGGTGTACCAAAACTTAACCGTTGGTCTTTGCACATCATCTTGGGCTTTTTACTTTGCCCAGTTTGAAGTGACAATCAAGAAGAAGCATTTTGAGATATGGTTCCTTTAAAAAACTTATATTGATTTTAGTTTGCTCACAGTTTACTAGAGAATCGAATTAAGAGAGAGCACCATGAAATAGATTATTAATTGAATTGTAGAGGCAGTAAATGCTAGAGGGTTTAGAAGATGGGTCATTTCTCACTGGGGGACAGGAGTTTTACAGAAAAGGTTGTATTTAAAATCATTTGTTGTTGTCTTCTGAACTCTTGAAGGAAAGCCTGGTTTGAATGGAGGGCATCTGATTATTGAAGCTTAATTGCTTTGAAAGATAAGATGTGTTTGAAACTGGGCATAGGTCAGAGTGGTACCACCTCCCTGCTCCTGTCCCAGTCAGAGCCCCTCTTTTTTCTGTTTAAATACTAAAGAGTTCTAGATTTCTTTTTACAAGAGTTCTGTGATCAGTAGGGGTAAAAAGAAAAACTTGGCACCTACTCTGATATACTCCAGATGGCATGCATTTGCAATTAAAATAAAAAATTCTTTGTTTATTTAAAATTCAAGAAGATTTGATGATTGAATTTTTGGATGTTGTCATGTTGTAAATAACATTACCTTCTGAGTGGAGAAACTTGGAACAGTCAACAAATAATGGTGAATGTGTAGATGTGCCCACTATAAGAGGTGAGTCACAGAGAACGACAGCGTTAGGAAGGATGTGAGATTGATTTGAAAAGAAAGAATAACGTGAATGTCTTTGCTGATGCCTGCCTGACAAGCCTTGTTCACCATAAGGTGACATCCCCCAGGAAGAGGTTGAAAGAGGTGAGCTGTGTATTTTGGCCACTTGGGGGGATACCCAGGTGTGGAGCAAAGAGTAGGCTGTCCAGTTGGTCACACTGTGAGCAGAAAGTATAAACACATTGCCTTAATGCTGTTAATTGGTTTAAATCTACTTTGAGTGACAAAATGCCTTAACTCTGAAAACAACTTGTCTTTTAGATAGAATCTTCCTGCAGCTGGAAAATGGCATTCAACTTAAACTACTGGCTGTAGAAAAGGAACCTAAATATATGTGCACTGGACATCTTAGAGATTATGCCAGTTATTATGTTCAGTATGGCTTTGATTCTTGAAAAGACATGCATGTGGCTTAGAGTCAAATATTCTAATACTGGGTATCTCTTAACCTGGCGTTATAGTTTTTCCAGTTTTATTGAGAAATAATCGACAGAGCATTGAATAAGTTTAAGGTATTGTTGTATAGTCACTAAGTCATGTCCGACTCTTCTGACCCCATGGACTGTAGCCTGCCAGGCTCCTCTGTCTGTGGAATTCTTACTAGAGTGGGTTGCCGTATCCTTCTCCAAGGGATCTTCCCAACCCAGGGATTCAACCCAGGCCTTCTGCATTGGCAGGCAGATTCTTTTTACTACTGAGCCACTGGGGGACCCCATTAGGTATACAACATAATAATTAGATAATATGTACTTTGTGAAACAGTTACCACAATAAGTTCAGTTATTATTCATCACCTCACAGTTTCAGTTTTTTCCCTTGTGATGAGAACGTTTTAGACAACTTTCAAATATACAATATTGTTAACTACACTCATCATGTTGTACATTATATCCCCAGAATTTGATTTTCTTTCCATCACTTTAAACTGATTATTTTGGCATTCAATTCCATATCTCTAAAAAGCATGGTTATATTTCTCTGTCTTGATCATTTGGTTTTAGGCCTTGTCACTATCTTTCCGGGAATGAAGAAGAGGGTTTGGCAGTTACACTCCACACCTGTCATGTGGCTGTCTTCTGATTTGTAAAGTGGTTTTGAGTCACGTAATCTGCTTGTCCCTTAGTAGTTATGTGACCTTGGGCAGGTCATTTAGTGTGGCTTAACTTTCTCATCAGTAAAATGGGTACTGTATAAGTAGTGTCTGCTTCATAGGATTGTCAGGACTTCACATATGTCAAGTAGTTGGAATAGTGGCTAGCCCATAGTAGGTGCTACATAAGTGTGATGTATTATTGTTACAGTAGAATTACTTTTCCTTCCTTGTACAGCTCCATTCACTTAGCTTTCTGTGTAATAATTGCCCCTACATACGAACCCTTGAAAGTTGCAAACTTTCAAAGATGTGAACGTGTGTTTGCATGTCCAGTTGTGTTTAAATTCATGTGTCTGATGTACATTGTCACATGCATCCTCTACACGAGGCTGTGCTTTTGTCTGCTGTAAAGTATTGTTGCCGTGCAACATGAGGAGGTTACTGATGAAGACCTGATAGAATCGGAGGCCCAGAGGAAGGACCAAGAGAGACAGGAGGAAGTAACCGAAGAACCAGAGAGATTCACAACAAGGGAAATGGCAAGGGGATTTGCTTTATCTCAGGAGGTGCTGGTAGTTTTTGAGGCATAGGACCCAAACAAAGCAGGGTACGTGAAGGTTGCAGAGTGCTGTCCAGTGCTACGGATTATCTGAGAAAGAAAAAGAGCTACTGCCTAGACATCGCTGGATTGTGGTTTTAAGGGAGTAGATAGAATTGAAAACGTCAAGGAACCAGAACCTGTGCCATCCACGTCAAGCATGCGTGAAATTGCGGCTT